TAAAGATTTAAATTAAGTCTTGAAACTATGAAACTGCTAAAAGAAAACACTGGTGAAAGAAAGACTATAGGAAATTGGTCTGGCCAAAAATTTTTTGGGTAAGACCTCAAGAGCATGGGCAACGAAAGCAAAAATAAGTAGGATGACATCAAGCAGAAAAGCTCTGCACAGCCAAGAAAATAATCAACAGAGTGAAGAGACAATCTGTGGAATGGGAGAGAATGTTAATATTTGCAAACCATCCAACAAGGGATTAATAACCAGAATATAAGGGAAACTCAATCCAACAGCAAAATAATAATAATTAAATTAAAAATGATCAAAAGGCCTGAACAGGAATTTCTCAAAAGAAAGCCTACAAATGACCAACAGATATATTAAAAAATGTTCAATATCATTAATCATCAGAGAAATGCAAATTAAAACAATAATGCGATATTATCTCACCCCAGTTAGAATGGCCATTATCGAAAAGACAAAAAAATAACAAATGTGGGTAAGGATGCAGAGAAAGGGAAATGCTAGTCCACTGTTGCTGGCAATGTAAAGCAGTGAATCCTTTATAAAACACAGTATGGAGGTTCCTCAAAAAACTAAAAATAAAACTACAGTATGATGCGGCCATCCCACTGTTTTGTATATATCCAAAAGAAAGGAAATGCATATATTGAAGAGATACCTGTACTTCATTTTTACTGCAGTAGAAATTCGTGATAGCCAACATATGGACACCTAAGTGTCCATCAACAGATGAATGGATAAAAACAATGACATATGTAAACAATAAAATATTGCTCAGCTATAGAGATGAATAAAATCCAGTCATTTGCAACCACACGGATGAAACTGGAGGTCACTATGCCAAGTGAAATAAGCCAGGCTCAGACAAACACTTATTCCACGTTCTCACTCCTATATGGGAGCTGAAAAAGTGGACCTTATAGAGGTAGAGAGTGGAATGGTGGATGCCAGAGACTGGGAAGCAAGGAGGTGAGTGGAGGGGATAAAAATAAGTTGGTTGAGGGGTACAAAATACAGTTAAATAGAAGGAATAAGTTCTAACATTTGCTGGCACAGTAGGGAAATTATAGTTAACAATTGTAAATTTTTAAATTGCTAGAAGAAAAAAGATTTACAGTGCCCCCAACACAGGGAAAAGGTTGAAGTGACTGATATTTTAATTACCACGATTTATTATTATACATTGTATACAGGCATCAAAACATCACGTGTACCCCTAAAATACGAACAACTCTTACACTGCAATAAAAATATTTGATTAAAAAAATAGGCCTGATTTTGTTTCAAAGTTATATTACCAGAGATTTTCTTGCTTCTGATCTTTTACCAAAAAAAGATGATAAATTTTGCTTAATGAAGGCTCAAATAATTGCAGTGGACCCTGCTGGCGTGGCCGAATCCGAGCCCCCAGAGTCTGTGCACTGGTTGCTAAGAATGTGAACTTGCAGCCTTCAGAGGATTGCTTGGACACGGGAACCCTTCACAGAAAGAAGCGTGGGAAATGCCTGGGAATTCCATCCTCCTGAGGCCGGCTCTAAGCCAATGACAGACTGCCTTGACAAAGGGAATCCTTGGCCCTCTGCAAGGCTGTGCATGTCCATGGCTGGGAGTTCGCCTAGAACCATATCCCTGCTGTGCAGATTCCCTCCCTGTCCTACTGACACTCTCCCTGCCTGTCAGGGGATGTGTCCTTCCTTAGTTGCTTGACCCAAGCTTCTCCTTTTGGGGTTCACCTCTGAGGAGAGCCTAACTTACGACAGCAAGCACAGTACTGAGAAAACACTCTATCTTATATGCAAACGTTCATCAAATTTCAAACCATGTGAGTTTGTTTTTTTTTTTTTTTTTTTTTGGCCTGCATCTCAGGTTTCTAGCCTAGTCTCTGTTACAGAGTTAGCAGGAGTTGGACGTAGAATGACCATCATGGCTGCACCCGTGTCTTCAGGGCTGACTATGAGCCCAGGAAACTCACATGGCACTCTGAGAGGTGTATCCCCATAGACAACCATGTGGGCATCTTAAGTTATGGGGGGGGGTGGTTCTCAGGAACAAACAATGTTCTATTACAAAGATGAAGAGCTTTAATAAAACCCCAATTTGCATTTTAAAAAGCTATAGATAGTGGCTATAAATTCAAATGTACATACATGTATATTCTATAAAAGGATTAGAAGTTCTCTCAGAATGAAAGTTCTGTGTTTCTATCTATTCGGTCTCAAAATGTTTATTGAGCACCTCCTGTATGCCAACTATTGTCTAAGAGAGTTTTTTAAAGGCTCGCTGCATGGTCTGTCTTTGTGGCATGAGTAATGGAATAAGGAGAAGAGATGGGGAGTGTGCAGTTTTCTTCCGATCCTTGTTGTCTCTGAGTGAGCTGGTGTTCAGGGCACCACAGGGCTGTCTCTGCTTTGAGAAGATCTGGGCTTCTTGGGGCTGAGCTGGAGGTTGGAGAAGCAAAAGGCACACAGGTTTAAAATTATGACGACTGAGGTGTCCTGGTGCTGGTGAGGTCAGTGGATAGCTAGAGAAGAGAAAACACTCTGTGATATCTGGGTAAGTGCTGGGACTGAGGAGTTCCCTAGGACACTGGACATTGGTTGGTAACACTAGGAATGTCCCCAGTCAGTCACCCCACATTTTTATGGCTCCTGTGATCCTGTCTAGTGTGGGGCTGTACACCTGGGAGAGGGGGAGGCATTTCCTGTATCTCCCGGTAAACAGGTGAATATCTTATCTTCTCACTTTCCTGGCTGATACATAGAACTTGACCCCTTTCCTTGATTTCTATTGAAAATTCTCCTACTTGAGTCATTAATGTTTGAAGTGGAGTCTGGAGGAGGTTTGGAGAGACAGAGTGATTTTATTGCAAAGAAGCAAACATCGCACAGACACGGGAGCTTAAGCTGAAAGCATGCCCCATGCCTGTGACAGTGGCCCCTCTCTCTGTTGGCCAGTCCCTCTCTCTCTTCTGTCCTCCATCCCCCTCTTCTCTGTCTTCTGCTTCTCAGCACGCCCAGATTCTCACTTACTGATGAGTTTGATTAGTTTGCCTGTATCTCTGTAGTCTCTTTCTAATCTATTACCATAGACCTCAGCTCCCCAGGAAGGGTTACCTATGCAGGAGTCTTTCTGTGCAAAGTGAGTTCCCTCCTCCAGGTGTAAGGATATTGCTGCTGAGGTCAGCCTCTCGGGTGCCCTGAATTTTTGCCTAGTGGACCTCCTGCAGGAGGTGCGGAACTGCTGCCTGGACCCTCACCTCGTGCTGCATGGGGTTTACAGTGATGGGAGTTACAGAAGATTTCAATACTTGGAAAAATCTCTCTGGTTTGATACAAAAATGAAGAAATTCTCCAAGTTGGGGAAAAAATTAAAAGCTAATGTTCAAAATGGAAACTGCAGAGCAAGACTCTCATGAAAGACATGCTTTACTAGGAAAATGCTCAGCGTATCACAAGCTTAGCTCCAATCTGAACAATCCTCTTCTAAAGAGCTTACCTCTGCCTCCTGTGAGATTTCCCTTGAGAAATTCACCTTTAGCTTTGTTGGTGTGTTCGTGTCTTTAGAAACCGTTTTCATGGCCAGTTTTCTTGGCATATATTTACCCAATAAGTGACTGATTCTTTAAGTGAGATGGTTAGATGTTTAGACAATAGTTTGTCTCTGTGGATACCTTAGAAAATCATACACTTACAGGATTTAGACCTTTCAAGGGTTCCTACCTCAGTGCCCTTATTTTAAATTTGAGGAAAACAAAGCTCTAAAGAAGTAAGGCTGGCACATGTAATTTGGACTAGATTCACCAATGTCTTATTTCCCTGGAGATAGATCTTCCCCAACCCTGGGGATCCATCTCTGGCTATTGGTAAGTGTGGCCTTACCCAGCCTGCTCATAGCAGACACTGGTGACTTTTCACCTACATTAACTGATTCACCAGTCACTGTAGGGTGCAGATGTTACCAACATCATCCCCATGGTATAGACAGTGAGAGAGTTTGCTCGCTGCCCCACAATCAGGAGTGGTAGAGCTTGGATTTGGACCCAGGCAGTTGGGCCTGCTAGGTAGGCCCTGAACACCAGCACCACCCTGCCTCTGAGTCCAGACACCGAGGATGTGGAAGTCCACTCTGCACTCTTTCTGGGATGCTCCTATCATTAAAAGTGCTTGGGTAGGCCATCTAATCAACATCTTTCCCCAAGCAACCAGAAGCAAGATCAATGTTTCCAAAAACTGCTTTGCAACTGATGAAAAATTATTTTGATTGTCTCAGAGTTTTCAAGTCTTCTCTATAAAATTACCTCACTTGAATTTTTTGTTTAATTTTTTGCAGTTGGATAAAAATATTCCCGGTCCTTAGAGGACCAAGAGCAGTTTGCCATCATCATAACTTTACAGAGCCAGCAACTTTTCTTTCATGAAGCTACTTCCCATCTCCTGATACCTTCAAGGGGTCTGTTAACTGTTTTAGATTATACTCTGGCCCTTTGGTATAGAGTGTAGTGTTTTGTTTTGTTTCTTTTTTCACCCAGGCTGGAGTGCAGTGGTATGATTACAGCTCACTGCAGCCTCGACCTCCCAGGCTCAGGTAATCTTTCCATCTCAGCCTGCCGAGTAGCTGAGACTACAATCACACACCACCATGCCCAGCTAATATTTTATATTTTTACTAGAGACGGGGTGTTGCCATGTTACCCAGGCTGGTCTTAAACTCCTGGGCACAAGTGATCCATCCGTCTTGGCCTCCCAAAGTGCTGGGATTACAGGCATGAGCCACCTCATCCAACCATGTGATGTTAAGGAGATAAATGCTTTCTTAAGTCGGGCAATGAAAGACATGAAATGAAGGCATCTTAACTGTTTTCCAGAAAGACGTGTTATGCAATGGATGCGTGTGTGCTGCAATGCGTATATGACATTGAGATACTCTCAGAACGAGCCTGTTGACTGTATGTCTTACTGAGGTCTATTTCTGCCTTCCAGTTTTACGGGAGCCCTATACAGTCCGTGTGGAGGACCAGAAAACCATGAGAGGCAATGTCGCGGTCTTCAAGTGCATTATCCCCTCCTCGGTGGAGGCGTACATCACTGTCGTCTCATGGGAGAAAGACACAGTTTCACTTGTCTCAGGTAGGCTTTGCACCTCCGGGGTGCAAGACGCCATGCTCACCTTCTGAAAAGGTTATTTCAGAGATGGAATCGGGTCTCCATGCATGTGTTCCTTATTGTTCAGAATTAGTATTCTTAAGGTTGAGGCTATTTTATAAGTAAACCTGAAATAACTGTTTTGTGTTGGCTTATAATGGCTTGATTCGGATATTCTTTGGTGAGTTGACTGATGAAGAGAAATTAGTGACTGGCGTTGTGACTGTAGCCATTATGTTAACTTCTTTGAAAACATTGTGGTTTTATGTCTGCTTCTGAAAGCAAGGTAATAGTATTGTGCATCTGTGAGAGACCTCGGCATTGCACAGACAGTTGATATTCTGAAACTAAAATCTGGAAGATGGAAGCCCTGTTTTCATGCACTGTGTGCTTTCCAGTGTCTTGAGAGTTATGTTGTATCTCTGACCTATTTCTTGAAGATTCTACTAAGAATACATATGCAGCACTGCAATGTATATTTGCATATGAGTAATTTCTTGGCTTATATTTGATGTCTAGAAAAGACAAAATTTAAATTTAGCCTCCAAGCAACTGCAGTTCTTCCTCTCTAATGGTGTTGAAGTGGATTTCTTGCTCTGTGCTATTTACCTGGGAAGGCTCCTGTTCTGTGCATCCTTGGATAATGACTGTTGGCATATCTCAAAATGTGCTGGCTGCTTTTGGAAAAGAATTGTGATGAGCCTAGTCTGTGTTCCAATGTGGATTATAAATAGTTGCTTTTTAAAAACATGTCTTTATGCCCTCACACAAAGATGCACACATACACACACAGCACACATTTTAACATAATTCTTGAATAAGCAACATTTTATCAGTTTATAGAGAGGAGGATTTAGAACTAAACCCTCATGGTGACACATCATTTTTGTATTTTAGCTTATTGATTAGCTGGAGAGTGTTGATTACTGTACACCAATGACCAGAAGGCATTTAAAAGATCCAAATCCAAATTGAAATATGTCGTCATCATAGCCTATTACAGGAATCTAGGATATAATGGAATTCTTAGTTTTTATAAAAGACATTGTCTTTATGGTGAATTGGAAACCCCTACCACTTCAATGAACAATACATTCCTTGCTGTTATGTTGATTAATCATCGTCACTTAACTTAGGGTGTTGAAAAATGCTAAGCTTAAAAACTGAAATGTGATTGTAATAATCAGAATAGAGACTCACTTATACACTTTTATTTGCTAATTTTCAGTGTTGAAACATCTTCACCTTCTCTCCTTAGGGGTCATGTTAGTTTTCTCAATGGCAGATGGAAGGATTTGATTGTAGTCATCTGGCTAAGCTCAGAGTCAGAGGGGAGAGGCCCTCAAATTTATATGGCAAGGGAGAATAGATTCAGGGAGGGGAAAAATTGGGGGCTGACTTTTCAGTCTTCCAGACTCAGGGAACTAGGATGTGGACTTCACCGTCTTTTAACTCAGTCATCCAAATTTGCGGCCTCAGAGTATGCTCTGGCAGAGGAAGAGAGTATGGGAGAATTCCAAACGCCTTCTTAGTGCCCGTATGTGGAGGTGACCCATGTTATCCCTATTCATATTTAATTGGCTAAAGCAAGTGTCATGGCCATGCCTGACTTCAGTGGGGCATGTGTCTGAAAGAAGAGAAAGAACTGGAAATCTGGGTGAGAAATTGAAATATCTACCGGAAGGATTTTTTGTATCAAGCTGGTTTGTATAATATGTTTGTTCTTTTGTTTCCTAGACGTCTTTAATTAGTTGTATACTCATATTCGTGTTTCACCTTTTTGCAATCTCTGTCAACAGACTTCATTTGCCTTCAAATGTGAACTTAATTAGATAAAAAAGGAAATGTAGTGAGGGGATGATGCTGGCATGCAGAGTATACAGTTGGTGCTTACTGATAGGAACTGTTAAATCTCAGGTCTTCTCCTGTGTCATACTCTGGAGCTTCATCCTTTCGTAAAATTTTAAAAGCAAAAGTTTTGGATAAGCCCTTGGCTTTTACTTCATAACAGCATCTAGAAAATAAATACAACGCAGGTGTTGATCTTATTGAGGAATACATCAATAAGAAGCTTTTGTTTGTTTGTAAGTAAGCCATTGAAAGAAAGAGAAAAAGAGACTTCATACCAGGTCATTCAACTTGAGCCTAATAGACTTGTCACTAAAAATGACCTCGTAAATGACAGCAAGACCCCAAAGCACTGGCATGATCTGTTTGCAAGAAGTCTCGAAATTGTGCATTTTTACCTGACTTCTGTTACTCACTGCTACACTCAGGCCCTGTTCCCAGTGGCCAAGCTCCACCCATCAATAGTGCCCAGAAAAGGAGGTCATGAAGTCACTGGAGGTGACACATGGTGTAAAACATTGGAGATCTTGATAAATAAACCATGCTCAGGTGGTCTAGGTGGAGAAGGGTTATATTTCTGTCTGGTTACCAGGACAAGGTACAGATAAGGACAGAGGACAGCCTCCCCCCACCATCACCCAGGCTGTGCTCTGGGGGAGGGCATTAAAAGAAGGAACCTCCCTCCTCCACGCTGGCTGGGGCTGAGCCACTCTGGGAAGCACCAGGATTCTTAGCTTCAGGGGATGACCTTGTACAGCACAGAAGTCCCAGGAACAGAGGGGCTTTTTCTAAATTAGCCCTGACCTTCAGAGAAGCTGTCCCGAATGCCATATGCACAGCAGATGATCTGTAAAAGGTTAATTTGCATCTGCCTTGTAAATAAACTGTAACTCCTGCTGAACTAGTTTGTATTTATTCCTTGGCATGGCCATCTCCTGGATTATCAGTCATCCCAGCCTGCTGGGATCTGGCTGGGAGTTTTGTCCCAGGATGCATTCCTACTCTGCACAGATCACTTCCTTTAGTGGTGACTTCTTCCTGTGGAGAAGAGCGATTAACTAAATCAGCCATGGAAATAAGACTGTGTAAGTATTGGACTGAGTGAGTGAGTTAGGAGTGAGTATGGGAGTGCCAGAGAGTTGACCTAGGAAAACTGGGGGCTGGTGGCAGTGGAGAGAGGGCCCAAAAGGAAGATTCACAGGCCGTTGCCCATGATGCCCCGTTGGGCTCAGGACAGAGCGTGACCTCTTGGCCTGGGCGATGCTTAGGTGCTCAGCCTTGACTGTTGGGAGATCCCCTAGGAAGGTCAGAGCAGCAAAGGTCTGCTTCTAACAGATGAGCATTTATGTGAATCTCTAGGTCAGGGGACCTTTGGAAATCCTGTTTAAGATAAATGCGTATTTGTCTTCTACAAATTCTTTTTAATGAAAAGCGAAATTAAAAACGTTGGTGTATTTCCCTAAAAAGAAACAAAATGGTTTCTATCAGCATGTCTCACTAGGTTTTGCCCTTTATTTTGGTTAAGAAAACAAATGAGTGGGTTATTTTCTTGAGAAGCACAAACCCAGTGTTTGTCAGGATTTGAATGAGCATGGCCCATTCTTACGGTGGTTTTCGGGAACTTACTGAACATCAAGGCATGCACTGATTTCTTTCTAGGGCACGCTTCAGTCTGGCCTGAAGGTAGACTCAAAAATCAAGTTAAGCCTTTTCATCATATGAGGTCATGAGGCTACCGATATCAAGGACATTCATGAGCTCATTGATTTTGAGGGATCTTTGGAAGGAATCTCCCAACTGTCAAAAAGCAGAAATCCCATAATTCTACCAAACGGAGGAAAGAGTCATAATATCTGATGCTGCTTTTCTGCCTGCCTGGGATCTTCCCTGGGCCCTGGGGCCCCGTATGGTGACCCTCCCCTCTGGTATGATCGGATGGGAGCAGGGTCATAAATGTGCAGAGGAAAAGCATTTAAGGGGCAGGCACACACGGTGCCATCAGATGACCTTAGTTAATATGACAGATCCTGACCTATTGTCTTCTTACCTCCCTAAAATGAGCCAGGGAAAACAAGAGTCATGGTGTCTATGTGCATTTTTTTTTAAAACATCCTCATCACTTATCCCAAGCTGCAATGAAATCCTTTTAAATGCCATAATATTCATGTAGCCCAGTAAAAATATAGTAGCTCGAATAGCAATGTGCTTTTGGAGGTATTGCTGATGTGGAGAAGCATAAGACACCATCCTGGAGAAAAACAATATCGGCTTTCTATTTGGGTTTCTCTTGACTAGCCTGTTGTGAATTTCCTCCCGATTAGGGAGGCCGGCCTTCCATTTCTGTTTCTTCTGATAAAATTGTGAGAATCTCACCAGGGGTTTAGCTACATTAACATCAAAGGCACAGCCCAAGGGTAACCGGATTTGGAAAATGGAAAAAGCAAACATTTTACTATTCCCAGAGAAACTGCCTCCCTTCTTAGCAGTGGCCCAATTTTCTGCTGTAATATTTCCTGTCTGAATACCTCTATTAGTGATGATTCAAGGAGAATTTTATCTCTTAGGATCAATGAGTTCAAGTCCAAGGGTGATTATCTTCTTCCTGTGTTTTGGGTAAACGTGAACAATTTTCTGCCCACATTAAATATCAAAGGACATAAACCAACCACTTTACATGAAACGTTTGCTGTAATTCTTCACTGCCACAACTGGGTCTGGGCATCACAGATAACGCAAGACTTTGGCTCTAAGAAGCACTCCCACCCCAGACCCCAGCAGAGATGGTTTCTGCTGTTGAGTGCTGGGGAGGTTCCTGCACCGTCACTCTGGGGGTGTTAGTGCTGCGGTATAGGCACTCAGGGGTAAGGCTGCAGGTGCACACATGGTTTTGCCCGGGGAAGTAGAGAAGGTTTCAGAAAGGAGTTTGTGATTTAAGAAAACCTTTGCATTTTAGAGAGGGGGAAATAAATTATAGATACAGTCAACCAAATTAGACAAGGCTATCCTTAAGCACATTTCAGCAAACCAGAACTAAGAGCAGATTGGATGCCATGTATTCTCATGTGGGAAGGGACAGAGAGCAGCACAGCTGTTGGGGGACGTGGGTCATGCTGTGGGGGGGCCTCCGCTTCTGTGCACTCTTGACTATGGACGTTAACCTTTCCTTTACTGAGGTGCTTGTATT